GGTGATGCGGTGCCTAGTGACGTGCACATTGACAAGGTATGGTCGAGTATGCCTAAGTGCGGGAGCCCACTCTCATCAACAAGAAAGATGACAAGCTTGGAGGCGACAAGGGTCTTGTGATGAATTATGTCACTATTTAGCAGCCCTTTTGGTGCAGTAGTGCTTGCTTGATTTCTCATATTGTTCTTGGCTTTTGTCAGTAACCTTCCTGTTTCCCCATGTCGTTGGTGTGCGTAAGTGGGTGAATGGATTATGTTATAATGAACCTTCAGTTCTTGGAGCTGCATTAGAAACCTTGTGCGTCATTGTTTAATTTTCTTGACAATGCATCTGCAGACAGTAGCTTAGCCTTACCATTTGACAGTTTGCTCGCCTTACCATTTGACAGTTTGCTCTCCCAAATCTGAATTCATCCCTCACGAGTGAATAATGATGACATGTATAGAGCTAGTGGTTTGTCTTGCCCTAAGAGCATCTCCAACAGCTGCGTAATGTGCGGCGCGCTAAAAAGTAGTTTGCGGCGTGCCCATCGCCAGGTTTGCCGCGGCGCACAGCGCTGTCTCCAGCATCCGCTCTAAAATACATCACGCGTGCAACTCCAGCAGCGCGCTAAAATGCAGTGCGTGCGAGCAGCCCGCGCATGTCCATATTTGTTGCATTTTGGACACAAAATAAATTTCACATAGATATAAAAAAAGATACAAAGATATTTTACATAGTTCATAGCATAATAGATAAACAAGTTCATAGCATAGATAGATAAAACCAGCCGTTGGGGCGCTCGCGGATGCTGCGGTAGCCCGAAGATCCCCGGCGGCGCGGCGGCATGGTGGTGCGGTGATGGCGGGGCGCTGTAGCGGCGATAAATCAGTGGAAGCGGCGAGGTGGCGAGGGGATGGGCGCGTGACAGTGTGGTGGAGCGCGTGTCGAGCGCGGCATTTTATAGGCGCGCATGAAGTGGCGTGCCAAATCTATCGTGCGAGCTGCCGCTATCTCCCTCGCGCGGTAGTTTCCCGCCTCCGCTGGAGCGCGCGAAAACTTGCCGCGCGCGCTAAAATGCCAGTTTACCGCGCGCGCACGTTCGTAGCGCGTCCGTTGGAGATGCTCTATAGATGTAGAGATGGTGATGGTTGCATGCTGTCTCACTTATATGCCTTAATTAATTTAGTGAATTTAGTTAGTGTTTTTTAGCAAAGCAATGATACTGGTGCGTATAACACGTAAACTGGATCCTGAGCTGCATGTTTAGGTATAACTACAGATATGGTGTTGTATTGGTGCCTGAAGATCTTGTTAGCTTTTATTTCTCTTCAATAGCTCCAACACAAGTGCACAAATATCTTGAGTTGTTCTTTATCTGTTGCATATAAATTTTTGGCCTGCAGTGCATATAACAAGTAGTGCACTGCAATGTCCATGTGAGACGAAGATGTTCATATGTCTGGTCAGAGTAATCACTGCAACTGCTTTCCTGTTCGCGGATTTTCCTTAGATAAGATCCTTTACTCAAAATCATGAACACACGTTTCTCTACATTTTTCTTTACCTATATATGAGAAAGAGGTATGGCTCTGTTCCAAATGTCTGGTAGATAGTTAATCTTGTTCATCCTTCATGGAACAAATAAATTGCCTTTCGAGTTGCCTCTTTATTTGCATTCACCTATCTCCCATATTTGGATCTTATTTAGTGCATTAAACCGGCTTTAGTAAGATATGATGTTAATTATGGCATAGAGCTGCTACACATCATAGTCACTTCCAGCCTTTTTTTTGCATGTTTATGAACCTGGATAGCCAAAGAAACATTATGTCGCCATCTCAAGAAATGGGTGGATAAATATACAGAAATAAATGTCAAACGACAAAAAAATCAAGATTGGTTCACGCCGAAACTGTACTAGATGAGGGTGAAAATTTTTCATTCAACGTCAACCATGGATCTTGCAAAAGGAAAAGAAATCAACTATGAAGCTATGTGTTTTTATGTATGAGAAATCAAAAGGTACATGCTAAAAAAGGAATACTTCATGCTATCCATGAAATAAAATGAGTAACACGTTTGTGTAGACAAGATTTCAAATTCTACAAATTCCATTGCTTAATGATTTGCATATAGGTCTATATGGTATGCATGAACTCCATAATGTTTATTTTAGTGAATATTCTGTTTTAGTAATGGAACAACAGTGCTACAAATCGGAATCCCTGCTCTGCACTGGACTTGGTTGATTCATTGTGGAGACTAATTGTTCTACTGTGGATGCATATTTGTGTGGGCAATAGGTTTTCACTGGTTGATTTGAAGCCAGCAACACTAGTTGTTAACTTTTTCTTTAGTTTTAAACTTCTAAAGATAAAGAGAGGGGCGAACAAAGTGGCACATGAGATTGCCAAGTTTTGCTTTGGTGTTCAATCTGATGCTATGTTAGTGGGTTTTGTTCCTCAATGTGTGGTGTCTTGTGTAACAAATGATTGTAATTTTCTTTCTAGTTCATATATGGGTTGTTTTACAAAAAGTACGTACTAAAAAAGAAATACTTCCATGCTCTCCATTAAAAACGAAAGGCATATATTTAAAATTCTCCAAATTTTATGTTGCTTCAAGATTGGTGCCATAAATTTTTATATCAAATTATATAAACACCATTTTTTTGAACGAACAATATTTTGCTTTAGCAATACCCCTGCCCCTTCCCCTATGGCCATGTGCATGCCGGCATGATATTAACTTGGCCCCTAGGCTGTTGTCTTGTCTGCAAGAGAAAATGAATGTAGATGCACCTAGACACAAAATTGACCTTGAGGTTGCATATACCAATTTTTTGGTGGAGAGCTATCAAGTTGAGGCTCCCCTGGACGTGTGACGGACCTTTCATCTGTAGCCGTTCCTTTTCCGTTTCACAATGGGTCGCGCGTGCCAGCACTAATAGAAAAACGGGCATTATCAGCGGCCCCTGGAGATGGTTGTGTCCCCATGTTCCAAATCCGTCTGTAATATTCCATCGAAGGTGGTTATTTCTGTGGTCGAGGAGGTGGAAATTTGAAATTGCTATAGTAAACATCAGAGGTGGTTGTGATTTTGAAACTGTCTATATTTAAGAAAAATTGGAGGCAGTTTTTGAAATGAAACCGCCTGTGGTACTTCCACCACTTATAACATAAGCCCCTCGCAGCTCACATTCTCCACTCCTACTCGAAGAAACGAATCTCCCGTCACAACATCTTCCGCATCCACATCCCGATAGGGTAATGGTGGTAAGTGTGCCAGCGCTACCACTAGCTTCGCCAGCATGCCACATGGACAACCACTTGGAGGAGTCATTCCTGCCGATCCTGCCCGACCTGTCACCGCATTAGTTTTGTCAACATCCGGGCAAGGCAGGGGGTAACTGTGTCGGCTCCACCAGTGCCCCAGCCGGCAAGCCTTGAGGATGACCATTGGAAGGAGTCCTTACCGACGCCGCTGGGAGTGAGTGTGCTGGAACCACTGCCTCTGCTGGTTTTGATGTTTCACGTCTTGCATTTCCGCAGCTTCTGCAAGAGATTTTGGTTGTAAGAATGAATATCATCAGCTGTTCATCTATTGTTTTGACAAAAAAAATCCTCAAGTCCTCCTAATATGTTTGGATGTTAGATGGAGACATATTTGTGCCTACTTTTAGAGTTAGTGTATTACGGAGATCCCAAAACAAATTATGCACTAGCCCGATTCAACAAACCTTTTTGTAGTCCCTTTCACATTCAGCGACACATTACAAAAAGACCCCTTCGACGTTAAAAAAGAGGCGTAACTCTGCTCAGGCTTTCCAACAAGCGTGGCGTGCCACCACGCTTTTTCCTGTTAGTTAGGATACCAAAACCCCCTAGATTTGGAGCCCCCCTGATGCGTTGGGGATTGTGGGGTACTGGGGTCGCTTGGGCCCATATCTAAGGGTGTTAAATTTGCTAATATATTTAAACTCCACGAACATTAAGTTTTTTACCTTTTTTTGAAATCTATGAACAATTTCAAAAAATCATGGTTTTTAAATTTACAATAAATAAAATCCAAATATTTATATATTTATATATACTTAATGACCTACTTGCCTCGGGTGATCACCACACATGCCCACGTTGCACCCTGCAACCCCTGCCTACCTCCCGCCACACTTCGATTCATTCGCTAGCCACTACTGTCGCTGGAATCGACGCATCAAGCTGCCGAGAGCTCATCGACGTGGAGCCGGAACGGCACTGGGCATCCACCCCGAGTGCTCGCTACGCCTTCAGACCTCTAATTCGGGCCGCCACCGCTTCCTTGAGCTCCATGTAGCAGCGACTTACCACCAAAGGCCCGGGGCATGCGGTAGTAGCCATGGGCACTGGGGCAATGAAAATCCCAAATTCGGATAGGCGGGAGAAGAGGTGGCTCAACATGTTCGCCACCGCGCGGAGAAGGCGGCACAGGCGTACGACATGATGGAGCTCCGCCACTTTGGGAGCCCGACGAAGCATAATTTCGCCGTCGACACCCCCATAGAAGCTCGAGACTGAGCACGTTGATCCGGCCTACATGACCGAGCTCAGTGCAAAGAACCAGGAATTCCTCCCGTGGACTAAACTCGGTTCGAATCAAAGGAGAATGACCAGGTGTTCGACGAGCTCTTGCCGAGCCCTCCGACGAGGAGGAGATGGCGGCAGCAACAATGGAGAGGCCGGGCCCTCACCGAGGTTATGGTGTCAGAGGTTGGATCATCACTATCACCCAGCCAGCATGTATTTAGAAAATATCCTTAATTGCAAAAACTACAGCAGCTTATAGACTATATAGTTCGGTCAGCCAAACCCCACGGCCCACGCAACTCACAACTCAACTGAACTGAAGCGGACCGTGAAATTGAAACCCTCGCCGCCAGACCACACCCCTCATCGATCCCCTCCCAATTGAAACCCTCGCACAGACCACACTCCTCATCGATCCCCTCCCAATTGAAACCCTCGCCGCCGTCACCCACCATGCCGCCGCCGCCGCCGCTGCCACCACCATCACTGCCGGGCGAGCTCCTCGAGGAGATCTTCCTCCGCCTCCCGCCGGACGAGCCCGCGTGCCTCGTGCGCGCCTCCCTCTCCAGCAAGTTCTGGCTCGGCCTCCTCTCCGGCCCTCGCTTCCGCGGTCGCTACCACGACCACCATGGAGCTCCCCCCATGCTCGGCTTCCTTCGTGGTTTCTGGCTGGAGGGCTGCCACCGGCGCGAAAAAGGTCCCGTCCCACGCTTCACGTCCACCGCGAAATTCGGGGCGCGCATTCCCGACGACGAATGGGACCACTCTGACTACTCTGCGTGGGACTGCCGCCATGGCCGCGTCCTTCTTGGGGATGCGTATAGCTGCGAGCTCCTCGTTTGGGACCCCATGACGGGCTGCCGGAGGGGGGTGGACTGGCCCAACCTGGTGGACGACAGCCGCGGGGTCGCCGTGCTCTGCGCCATGAGGGGCTGTGACCACCGCACTTGTCATGCGGCTCCCTTCCAGGTGGTTTTTGTCGGCGTGGAAATGGGAGAAGATGAGGATGTTGATGATTGTGCTGCATTCGCTTGTGTGTCCTTGCCAGAGACCGGTGACTGGAGCAAGCCATGCCCTCCATCTGATCAGTGGGGCGAGCCCTGCCCTCTTCTTCATCTTCCAGCTGAAGCATTCATCGAGCCAATCCCCCCTGTCCTCATCGAAGAAGCACTTCACTTCATGATTCAGTCTCTTAAGGATGATAGTGAAGAAATTCTCAAGTATGACTTCAGCTCTAATAGCTTATCACTGATTGGTGCACCGATTCAGGATCGTGAAATTGTCAGTTCCTCTATCCTCATGGCGATGGAGGATGGCAGTTTGGGGTATGCATATGTCAATGGATCAACCCTCTACCTGTGGTCAAGACTGATGGATTCCAACGGAGTTGCCTCATGGAGTCAACGTACAATTATCAATCTCATGAACCTTCTCCCCATCCAAAATCCTGTGGAAAGAATTACAGTAGTTGGATCCGTGGAGGGCGGTGATGTCGTGTTCGTCACCACAGTGCTGGGCATCTATGAGATTAATGTTGATTCGCAGCGATGGAAGAAGCTAGGGAAGAGAGAAAATTTAGATGCTGTGATTCCATACATGAGTTTCTACAATCGACAAGGTATAGTTGTATTTATATGTCATTTGTTGTGATTTGGGAACACCTATTAAGTTATACACCAAATAAGTTAGTGGAACAAACAAAACGATCGATCTCTATTCAGATATAAAGTTTCATTTCAAATGTTCCCACCAGGCAAAGTTAGGGTGATATGTAATTACAACTAATTATGCTAATTTAATTGGCTATTTATATCGTATCATGTCATCCCCTTTTTGGAAACACACCGGCAAATTTATGTTTGCAGAAAGGGTGATGCCTGGTGACGTGGTGCATTGACAAGGTATGGTTGAATATGCTTAAGGGCAGGAGGCCACTCTCATCAACAAGAAAGATGACAAGCTTAGGCAGCAGGGGTCTTGCGATGAATTATATCACTACATAGTAGCCCTTTTGGTGCAATGGTGCTTGCTTGATTTCTCATATCGTGTTTAGCTTTTTTCAGTAAGCTTGACAGTTTCCCCATGTTGTTCGTGTGTGTAATTGGATGATGGATTATGTTGTAAACTTGTAATGAACCTTCAATTCTTGCAGCAGCAGTAGTGACCATTTGCTCTGTTGTCTAATTTGATTTAAAAATGCAGCTGCGGATAGTAGCTTAATCTTGTCATTTTGAAAATTCTACAGTTTGATGTCTTGCAATGAACCTCCAGTCTTGCAGCTGCATTAAGAACCATGTGCTTTGTTGTTTAATTTTCTTGACAATGCATCTGCAGACACGAGTTTAGTCTTACCATTTTGAAAACTTTACAGTTTGCTCTCCCAAATCTAAATTCACCTCTCATGAGTTAATAATGATGACATGTCTAGAGCTAGTCGTTTGTCTCGCCCTAAAGAAGTAGAGATGGTGATGGTTTCAGCATGCTGTCTCACTGATATAACTTCATTAATTTATTGAATTTGGTTGGCGTTCGTTTTTTTAGGAAAGCAATGTTACTGACGAAGTGATGAGTATAACATGTAAACTGGATCTTGAGATACATGTTCAGGTGAGTACAGATATGCTGTTGAATTGCTGCCTAATGATGTTGGAAGTTTTTATTTCGTTATCTGTTGCATTTTTTTGGCCTCCAGTGCACAAAATGTATTTGCATGATTTTTGTCGAGAATTTTGACTTTTCTGAGTAAGATTGGTAATTTTTTCGTTTCGCGATAAGGGTGATTCTATATGCATCTGCATGCAGTACCATTTAAAGAACTGTATAGTTTGCTCTCCCGGCTTTGGTCCAATCTCTAAAATCCTCTTCCAGAATAGGTCCGGATGATCAGCACAGTATGAGGGCTTGTCCTAAGCTTGGATTTTCCGCCGATCAAGAGATGATCATGGCCTGTGCATGGCTTGATTATAAATCTTAGTTAATTACCT